AAGAATGAGAGAAAGAAAGAGGGAAAGAAAGAAAGAAGGAAAGAAAGAAGGAAAGAAAGAAGGAAAGAAAGAAAGAGAGACTTTAGGGGAGAAATGGCCCAAAAGAGATGCGAAGAGAAGGGATAGAGAGAGGAAAAGCACACCAAAATATAAAGGATAAGGTATGTGCTTATATCTGAGGGGTAAAATGACTCTCTGAGTGACAAGCTGTGGAGGTGCACTGGAGTCACAAGCACTGCTCATCTTGGACACATTCAGAGCCCTGTTCAGGTGCCCTGAGTACAGTATGAGGGTTGGCTTCTGCCACACCTTGCAGAAGGGAATGTGAGAGCTTACCCAGAGAGGGCCTGCTTAGTTTTGTTTTCTAACATTAGTTTTCGGCCTCTAGGAGAGACAGCATGCCAGGATATATTTAGAAAACAGGCGAGTGCGCCCCAGGTCATATTCAGACATGCAGAATGACCCAGCCATGGGTGATCCTGGGTAGCAGAGCATAAGAAATGTGGAGGCGCAGAAAATCTGAAGGGAAGAGCACTGCTCTGAAAACTGATGGATGGTACATAGAACCAGGGGTATATTTTAGTTGTTCATCATATTAGGTGATCACTGGAGTTCCCTTCCAACCAACACTTCTATGATAAAAGTACTCAGTTTCCCAGAGCCTTAGCCAATCTAAGACAAAAAGGGGGGATAGGAAAAACAAGATCTAACAGAAAAGGTGGTCAGACATTTGGGGCAGGTCTTGCAGTATTTCCCTAGTACCTCGTGCAGCATCAGCACAATAGACGTTGTTTGGACCTGTGGCAGGATTGTACTTTTGCAGCAACCATAGGGGGCCAGGACTTCAAGATATTTTGTATTGACAGTATTTGCAATTAAAAACTGCTGATTGTTGAAATAATTTGTAACACACAGATAGCAAACAGGATTTTGTACAGAAGCATCCAAACAAAGCAAACCAAAGAACTAAAAAAACCTGAAATACCTAATTTGCATGCACAGCAGAATGTCCAAAATAAATGGAGAAACTGTATTTCAGATTTCATATGCAACTATTCATTTGCATGTGCACTTACTCAGACTCTGTTCAAAGCTCTGTGTACACCCTGCCTGCTAATCCTTTGCTGGAATGTCAGTAACAAGTGCAATATATTGTACAAACCACAAATAGAAGAACCAAGAAACCTATGCCATCTGTGAATCACTATTTCTCTTCTGGGAATTGACACCAAACTTTTAGGAATGTATGAATTCAGCTGAAATGCACAAGACTAATATCTTAGAAAAGCTGTGCTAGCAATTCACTGCCAAGTGTGCAAGCATTTTGCTTGTAAGAAGTTCCCAGCCTGTGTTACTAAAATGCTTTAAGGCATGTAAGTGTTTTGAATTTAAAGCCTGTAAGGTTTATTGGTATTTCACTCAATAGCCAGCGCACATAGTGCTTACAGCAAACATTCATGAAGATACAAAATATAAGAATTCCATACCCTTTTTTGTAATGATTAGCAAATAAACTTCTTTGAATATGTTTGCTGTGATCCCCGTATCAATATTAAGATTACATTAATTAGTTATCTCTCTTTGTCACGTTTCTGTATTTTCTTGGAATGATCTCTCTATAAGGTGAAGTTACATGACTTTACTTGAACCCATCTATTTTCACATCATTCTAACATTAGTTTTTTAATGATGCTATTGTGTTAAACAATCGTGAACTAATTTCTGACAGAAGGCTGTACCGCTTACAAAAAATTACTGAATAGGGTGATAAGGAACGACTAAAGTGTGGGATGGTCTTTGTGTCTGGAACAATTACATGTTCTGGGAATCTCAGCATGGAGAAAAAGGAGTATTGACAGAGCTCTCTGAAACCTAGTGTTACAGAGCATGTAGCAGCAAACAATTCTTGACTGTTTTTCAGAATGAAAGTGAAGAAACATAAAACTATCAGGGGCCAATTCACAGCAGAAGCGGGTAACAGACAAGCTGTGCATATCTAAAGGATGTTGTGGATGGTAAGACTTTATATGGTTTCAAAGCTATCTTTCTACAAGTCCATAGAAAAAAATCATGAAAGGTGAAAGGGCTATTGAATATAAATGTACCACATTTGGTTCATGAGACCCACAAATATAATTTCCTGCAGTCCAGGAAAGTATATGTTTGCCAGTTTATATGTTTCACAGTACACCTACTTATGGTCATTACCATAGGTAATTTAGAATACTACTTGTAGCTATGATCCATGGTGGTATCACCAGTGTCATGTCATTATCAACAAACTTAAAAAATATCTTTAATGGAAACAAGACAGATTCTGGCCCATAAGCATTCTGTTAATTTTCCTTCAAGGTTCGATCTGGGTTCTTAACTATTCCTCCTTTCTTTTGTGAACTTTGAAACTTCATGAGAAAGGTACTTGGAGCTACCACAGGATAGCTGACTAGTTCAGCCAGACCTCTTCCACCAGTAATGAGACCTATTGATGGTTGATCTACACTTCTTGTTTGGGTTACACTTGAAAAATAAGCCAGCACTGAAATTTAAAGAAACTATTGATTACACTTTGTAAAAAAATTTAAGGCCACACATTTCAGAGAGGTCACTTTTCAGAGAAGACACAATTTTCCAATAAAGCTGTTCTTAACATAACATCATGTTTCCACGGAGGGTTAAATGCCCATTGCTCTTTTTGATCTTTTGAAAATCCACCCCAAAATGTACATGTATTCATTTTCTCAGTGACTTCAAATAAACTAGCCCTGAAAATAAACCCACACTTTAGAACAGAGGGTGTCACAACATGTTCTTCGTACAGCACTCATGAGTTGTATTTGCTTGTAATTGTGGCTGCAATCAACAGTGCAGACCATGGCATTCAAAGGGCCCTCCGTTTTAAAATGTCTTGCTAGACACTAAAATCTATAATGTTATTTTTAACACTTGTCCGTAAGCGATGTTATCAACCGACTGTCAAAGAAAGACAAGACAGTCCCACGTGTTTGGCTCAATGTGTGTCCTTCAGACCACTCAGAAGGCCAGAGCACTTACTACATTTAAGGGAAAGTCGTTCTTCTGCTTTTCCTGACACCACCCACAGTCTCTAAGTAGATTTAACAAATGATTGCAGCTGTATGGAAAACATGTAAACATTTGGGTGTGCAGTCTGACTACAGTAAATGACTAGATCAGAGACACAAGTTATCCAGTACAATAATCTGGCCTTGAGATAGTCACAGGATGTGTATCTGAGAAAGGAACCCCCCTGAGTAGATAAATATGGAAATAGAAGATAATTGGCTTCCATAAAGATTGAATTTTAAATCACAGGAGATGAATTTTGCTTTAAAGCCTGAAACATGAGTTTTGATATCTACTTCATTACTCTTTTTCTTTTTTTTTTTCAAGCATTGATTGTTACAGCTGAGGATTCTTGGCTGTACAACGTGAAAAGTTCCTTCTAGTCTTGCTAAAGTCATGACCCTGGTGATTCCTTGCCAGTTCACTACATTAACTTTTTACAGGAAAATAGTTCAAGAAATAGAAATTCAGATTAATTTTGTAAGTTAAAAAACTCCAACTCTTCAAACTCAATAGTGTAAATTTATGGTTATTGCCAGACATTTTATCGTCTGGTCTAAATTTGTTGTATACAGTTGCATTTTTGTGATCATTTTCTCCACTGAATACATTTTCCTAGCTCTTAGTAAATTTAGTAAATATTAGAAATGGAAAGAAAAGATTACAGAAATATATATAATATGATAGGTATTTCTGCAAAGAAAAATATCCTCTGTTAAAGCAAGTGCAAAGGTAACTGTTATGGTTTTGTTGCAAACATTTTTAGAAACTCAGTTCTTCACAAATGTTGGAAAGTTTTCTGGACTTAACCTTCTGTTAAATATTTTCTGTTACCTTTCATGGACTAATTTATAGTAATTTTTAATGTACACTTTGAAGGAGTGCTTTTACACATATTTAACACTTATTTAGACACATGCAATGGGAAGATATATTATTCTGATGAAACTGTTTACCAGAAAAAACAATTGTACGACTAGAAAAAATATTTTTTAAAAAATAAGGTTAGCGATCTATGAATATACATAAGTTAAGAACCACAAGCATGAGACTAGATCCACTGTTAAAACATCCTTTCATCTAACCACCTACATGGCAATAGTGACACCGAGATCCCCATTACATATATTTTCATCAAACTGAGCTTTTACCACACTCAGTTTCAAAAATAATAACAAACCTATGCCAATAGTTTATGGGCATCAGCACATAAATTGATCTCTAATGACACCAGAGTTTGATTTGCACACCTGCTGAGCTTGCTCTGCAGAGATCAACAAATCTGAAGGAAAAGAAAAAGCTGGGTAGTAGTGTCATTTAAAAAACATTTCATGGCATAAAAGAATAACAGTGTTGCATAGAAACAGAAAGAATAGAGGTGTTCAGAGTTCTGTAGTTTCCTCTGTGTGCACAGAGAAATTTGACTATCAGAGGAAGACTTTATGAAATAGAGGATCATATTGTCTATGTATAGTATATATAGAATTTACAGCAGATGAAGTGGTAGCAGTGGGAATTGGATATCAGCATCTTTCTGGTTTGGCTTACTGGTAGTGGTAATCATAACCCAAGTGTTCTCAACTTGCAAAAAGTCTAGTTCACATTTTGAATAAGCTGTTTCTTCAATGTCTCCTTTCCTCTTTTTGTTGTTGTTGAATTGTTTGATTTTTCTTTTTTCCTTTCTAGGACATATTTGCCTTTAGCTATAACTACCTAAACATTTTGTGTATGTACAGACACATGACAGATCTTGCTCCACATCACAAAGGATATGCCGAAAGAAAAGGGAGGCAATGTGTGACTATTCCTTTACAGTGAATGCATCACAAACATTTCATTACAAGTACTGTAGCAATTCATGAAATTAACTTGTGCTTTCTCACAAGCAATCATAAAGCTTTTGTCATGTCTTTTCTTACCAAGTTGGTCTGCTAAATGTTTGCCCCTCTCACTGAAGATTACCCGTTCATCCTCCATGTCACATTTGTTGCCAACCAAAATAACCTGGGCGTTATCCCAAGAGTATGTTTTGATTTGAGTTGACCTTAAAAGAAAAAGAGAGAAGAGAGAGAAGAGTTAAAGCTAAGCAAAGTCCCCTCAAACCAATTTCAACACCACTGCAACAAGACAGACAATAATTATTTTGACAACTAGGGTAACATGACTCTGTTTAATTATGGATTTCAAAGAAACTGAAGATTATCTGTCAGGTATTATTATTACATGAATAATATCAACATAAGCTTTATTTTTGCTTGTTAAAAAAAATATTTTTCCTGCCATCAACATCCTTCCTATATTTTTATGAAGAGATGACACTTTCTCCCATACAATTAAAAAAGTATTTTCACATTTAATCCAAACCTTATAATCCAAAAACACACCTCTGAAACAAGATCACCAGCTTGTTCATTTATCTTTCAACTTCTAAAATTGCATGTAAATTTAGCAGCAAAACTTCAGAGCCAGTCTCTCTTCCTTCTGTTATTTCTCTCCATCACATTCCTCTACAGGTCTTTGACCTAGCAGAAGTGTAGCAACATTTACATTGTGCACTAAGTCATGGACAGGAGCTGAGTTTGAACTCTGATTTAACTTCCATTTAAATTATAAAAGCCTTAACCATGACTGCATCTGAATGAGAGTATCTGAGGCCTTGAAACACCATGGAACCTTGAGTGCTGGTGGTGAAACAGCATACCCTAAAAATGTCTCTTCTGCAATTCAAATGTGATGCACCATTCTTGTGATACTCAGACCTGCTCTGTAGGAAGGAAACCTCCACAGCTGGCTCCAAGCTCAGCCAAAGGTTATGCTGCTAATTACCGCCTTCTATCTGAGAGCAATACCTGCTCTGGAAGGTAATGAAGGATGCAGCAAGCTTAGTCTAAGCACTTATCCTTTTACTTGGACTTGTGACTGTCTGGCTTTAGGCTCCAAGTCAAGTGTTTGGTAGGATATTCATATATCTCATCTGTCTCCATACGATCGATGGAGAGAGAAAAACTATGGAGAGCATCTCTGTCTCCCCCACCCCTTCCCACACTATTTCCTCCATTTCTCCCTTTCTCCCTCTTTCCCTCCCTCCCCCCACCCCCATTCCTCTCTCCTTGGACAATACAGGGTGCTTAGTAAAATAAAGTAGAATAGAAAATAACCTCTCTAACTACACATTTATGAGAGGACGCCCTGGAAGGGAATCCTGTGGCATATCAGGGATTTAAGTCTCTTTGAGAAAGATGAAATATATTAAAAAAAAAATCTGTGACCTAAATCTTTTGGAAGCTGGTCTGCATTGGTGCTAAGTTTACTAGCAATACCTTCTCATAACACAGTCATTGTCTCTACATATTCAGATCCCTGTCTGTAAACTGTTACATGCACAAAAAAGATCATGATGTAGTCTGTCAACTGGTTCTAGTGAAAGAGAAGAAATAGATCGAATCTTCCCATCTGGCTTTGCTTATTACAAAACCAGAGGGATGGACACAGTAAAATCCTGCTACAGCTACCTTTGGGACCTTAGGTCCAATGCCATTGCCCACAGGTTCTCTGCATGAGTCAAAGCAGCTCTAGGCCATGTCTGATGGGTTTGCACTGCTGGGCAGAGGAATTTAAGGGGAGACAGCACATTGCCTTTAGGAATGCTTTACTTCATCATAATGACCAAAAAGAAGATGAAGCAAGCCCCAGGCATTTTGTGCTACAGACTGTTCCCTTGGGCCTGCCCTCATCTTTTCTTCAGTAAGTGGACATTTGAGTAGGTGTTCGTAAGGTACTGTGATCAAAGAGAGGTCAGACTTCCCTGTATACTTACGTTTTACTAAAGATACCTTTACTCAGAGAAAAGGGCACTGTGCACTGACTTTGGCAAAAAATGTTCTTTTAGAACCTTGCTGAGTGGTTAAGCAAAATAGAATTATTGTTTTTTTTAACCTGAACTACATTTGTCACCATAGGAATTTTGCAAATGCTAGTGGCTAAAATGTCAGAGGATGTTAGTCCACTAATGGCTCTAAAAGTGCTTACCATTGAACAATTATTAGTTGGGGTCAATTTATCCCCTTTATGTCAGCAGGAAATTGAAGACATTTGAAAAGCAAAATATACAGTAATAATAGTAAGTTTACAGAAGAAATTACTTACATAATCTGCAAAAGTGAAATAGAAGAAACTGATGAAGAAATACAACCTGGAGAAATACCAAATACAGCCTTGTTTTAAAGACTTTTGCTCCAGAGTCTTATATCAGTTTCTTTGATTAAGAATGCAAGCTCCCTTCATTTTAACTACAGCCAGATGTGAATTTTCATTCTACAAACTATGAACCTATGCATTCAAATGCTTCTCATTACCAAAGCAACTTATTTTATTCTGAGACTTGTTATCCTGCTTAATTCTCATCTAGTTATAATTTTTTTTTTTAAGTCATGAGAGATCTTGTCCTTCATAACAAATCGAAAAGCTTATGTTTTACAAAAGACTCTGTAGTGCAAAAATACAACTGTGAAAATCAAATATATCCCCACTCAGGCCCACATCAGTAGGAGCTTGATTCAAAGAATATAATAGGCTCATCACTGTTATGTTTTCTTTTAGACATACATTTCCACTAATGGTTTCTGTAGGTTTTGATTCCCACAATTCTCCACCAAAGCCAACACACAGATAGTCTAAAAAAAGAGATTTCACTGTTCCTTGCATACATGATCTTTCAAATGACTGAGGCTTCTGATTAATCCACACAACACAAACCTTGGTTCTTGCAAAGAACTTTAGCCTCAGGAAGATTGAAGACATGAAAAGGCAAAGCTGATGTTTCATTAAAGCTGAATACAACAGTTCTTATTCGCTCTCAGTGACCTGGTGTATGTCAACAGTAATTTACCCTATAAATCTTTCACATCCTAGTTGTATATTAGGCAGGTAATCTGCATCATGCTTGAATTTTTATAATGTATAGTCTCCAGAGGGACAGATTAATGGGAGAGTTCAATGATCCTTACTTTCTGTGATCAACACAAGACTTGTTCTCCCTGTATTGCAATTCTGCCATATTCCTTGTCAGAAAAGAGCACTTGCTGAATGCAAATGAAAGCAATGGTATTGTTTCATCTTAAAGCAGTAAAATCTTCAAATAAGTGCCCAGGAAACAATGGCCAGGTGCCTGTGCTTGCTCTTGGGCAGCTTACAAGGGGTGTCGCACAGAGATAGAGTGGGGTTCAGGAACATACAGCCCCCTCAGTTGGCTGAGGCAGCTGAGATGCTGGAAGCCAAGGTAGATAGCACAGAGTTAATACAGGAGAGTTGCTGAGAGGTTACCACTGTGGAAACCAGACTGTTCACATTAAATTATGTGATAAAAGCTCATCTGTACATCCGCAAGGAGCACAGAGAGATGAAGGCAGGTGGGAGAGCCCAAATAATATCCTGGCCCTGGCTGCTTCCAGGCCTATTGCAGGAGCCATCAGACTGTCCAAGGCCCATGTCTAATGGCCTTGAGGAGCAGGGGTGCACAAAGGCAAGTTCCCAAATAATGGTTCAGAAGGAACCATATCCAGGTTCCTTCCAGGGTTGTTCTAGGAGAGCCTCACTCCTATTGTCCACAAAAGAAACCCACCAATGCAGGTAAAAAATTGAATCTTACATGTCCAGATGCCAGAAACTGAGGAGACTGGGATCCAGGGGCAGCTACTTGGCAAACTGAGTGTATGAGCCCAGCTGATGGAGGGAGCCACAATGTACATGTCTATACAGGTATATATACTCACTAGTGGAGAGGAGCAGGGTGAGGATGCTTATGCTCTTTGTGTTTGTGGTTGTACCTGTCAGCATACCTTGGGTTCACTCTGAATATCTCTTCAGATGATAATTTTTTACTAACTCATGTCCAGAAAAATACTCATATAACCTGGAATAGACTCTAGTATATTCTCACTCACAGACTTGTTTGCAAGGATAGCAAACAAATATATTCAATAAAGATATATCCATACAGTAAATATAGCAGGAATATGAACTTTTAGAGACAGCCTCAATCCATGGCACCACTCTTTGGACCTAGTCCTCCCAGGATGCTTGCCAACACTAGAGGTGCTGGTTTCTATAGACCTTTTAGTTAATTAAGTAGGAAGTCACATGACTGACAGCAGAGAAGCACTCTGATGAAAATGCTTGGGGGGGGGGGCGTGTATGTTTATTCTAGCAAGTTCAGGAAATATGTTGCACTTCTGATGTTCTGGTTTTGAAAATGAGTACTCAATTAACAGGGGTGCATCACCTTACCAGGAAAAAAAAAAAAACAAACAAAACTCAAGCCAACCAAACAAAACCCCAAAACGAAACAAGTAGAAAAAACCACAAAACTAAGTAAAAACCCCTCAACCAGCCCCAAACCAAATTAATAAAACCTCTACGAAATCTGTTTTATTTTTTGAAGTTACTGTTATGTTGAGTTCACTGATTAATCATTAAAATTCTCCCATGTTTGTCTATAGCATGGTACCTCCAAAGTCCATTAGCTGAAGTATTAGAGGCTACAGCATACTGATGGGATCTCAGGTGAAGTCCAGGTTATCTATTTTAAAATTTTCTCAGTTTATTTAAGTATTTGGTGAGGGGAAGTATCAGAGAAGAAGCTATGAGTTTGGAGGAGTTTTGTTGAACTTCCTGCCTTTATTTGCAAATGAGCGTAGCAAGTGCCTGTCCCCCTCTGAGCAGGAAGGCTTGTTCTCAGCATTTTCAGGAGACACCATTTTCCTTCTGTAACTGAAGCAATGAGGGATATCTTTCCCCCCTCCCCCAGTCTCCATCCTGTGATGTGTGAAGATACAGCACAGCCCTCTCTGACCCCTTACACAGACAGGGATTGTAAGGGGAAGCTCTATCATTTCCATCTTTATAGTGGATGGGATCATGTCACCCTCCTTGCCTGTGAGGAGCTCTGACATGTTCCCCATTCAAGCCAGCTTTTCCACAAGGTGAGTCTGAGGTCTCCCTGATACTACCAAGTGTTTTCTATACTTCAGTGTGTACCATAGGCTC